GTCCTAATGTCCTAATTCACGAACACCAGGACGGCCGCCAACGAGATGGCCAGATTTCTTAAAGAAAGCTCTGAACGAAAGAATGCTGGGTCTCGTGTCCCTCATGTCATTCTTTGGACCACTCTAGCTCGTGACAGGGACGAATGGAGAAGTCACTGGCGCCCGCTCGAGGAAATCGATGATCAACGGGACGACAGGTGATACAGATGATTTATATTGAGCAGTTTGACGACAGTGTACATGTATGTATGTGCCCCTCACTCGTGTTGATCGTCGTTCAATTCAGGAAGCTTCAGTCCATATATTTGGTTGCCGAGGGATGCCCAAGTAAACAAGGATCCCATGTCTCGTTAATACTCACATTTCATGAACATCAACAGATACTACGTCATCTCCACTTGATACCTAATTTTGCTAGGATTTTACTTTCATGGCGGTGATGTGCTGAGAAGACTTAGGTCCGTTCGCAAAAAAAATCGTATCGATTAGAAAAACTAAGGGACGAGGAAGGGTCCCAGCCCATGAAGGAAGTCATCTGTCATGAGAAGTCAAAACCCAAATTTGAGCTCACGTCTACGACGAGGTCTATGACTACGAGTAAAGAGAAACTCAAGAACCGAGACCGCCCAACGATAAACAAATTACCGTTAATAATGAAATAGTTAAAATGCCATCTTCCGGAGAAAAGAAAGAGTCGAAGCAAGAGATTGTAGAGAGTGGGCGATGTAGTTTAGGTTTTTGCCTTTTGCCATGACTGACTGAATGATGGCCAACTTTGGGTTTGAGGTCTTAGTGGTAGCAGCTTCAGGTAAGCCGCCAGCAGCGACTAAAAATTGTACAGAAGGTAATTTGAGAAAAATGTATCAAATTCGAATCTATCAAACGACAAACGATCTAGACCAAAGAAGAAAGAGCGCCCGCAAAATATAGTACGAAATCAAGCGGCGACATCGAGCGATATTATGCGACAAGTATAAACGAAGGCTAATGGTTTGCGAAGAACGACAACGGACGAAAGGAATTCACCTCGGCAACGACTTTCAAAAAGCACTAATAGTAAGTGCGATAGCGAATGAAACGAGTATTGTCGAAAACATCAGCAGTAATGCCGGTGAGTATAGAAGACCGCTAAAAGCCGGAGGCGAAGGAAGGCTTTCAGCAGTCACTTCGAAACGAACAATGCAACGTACAAATAACATGAACGGTAACGGCCGTAAGAGCAATCAGCGAACATTCCGAACGAACGAATGGCTGCAAATGGCATGGTGACAGAATAAATGACAGGAGCAATAACGAGTCCTCAACGAACGATGACAGTCGACATGACTTCCTTGCAAAATGAGCAGAATAGCGGGCTTGGGAATGTCAATGAGCAAAAGCACTAAACGGAAATATCGGCTACAACGGTGATCGAGTAAGCGACGGAGAGCCCAATCCGTACCACATCTTTCATTGCGTACTACCTTTAGTGCTACACCGGAAGGGGTGGATCGTCCAAGCCACACATCCTCTTTTCCAGGGGCCTGACCCATAATAAAGGGAGCTTAATGCTGCTTTCAGTCTGAAAACTCCACATGTTTTTCATCCGCAACAGGTTTGTAACTGTTTTTATCCGATTACCCATTCCCAGGAAGGTCGCTGTCCGGCATGTCCGGCATATAGCACCCAATACATACCAACAAGTCTTCGGCATCTTCGATGCTTTTGAATCATTCGGACTGGTTGTTACGATCGTGAGCCTGTTCTTTTCGGTAGCCACCAAGCTCAAGCTATTTTCATATTCGAAACCGCCTCCTCTCTCAGTTGCATCAGCACTACACACGTATGTATTACCCTTTGAAGGACTTGAAAGTTTTCTTGCTAAATATTTATCGTCATCATAACTGTTGGGCACACATTGGATAAGTAAATTAACTAGTTAATTACTCAACAGATCAACAAATAGAGAGAGATTCAATGAGTCAGTGAATGACGATGTGACCTAACTTCATATTGTGATTGTAGATGACGATTGTGAAAGTTATCTATTTCTTTTAAAAGAGGAGAAGAAAGTGAGAAACCACATGCAACGGGGAAACTTTTGGAAAAATGCTTTCGTAATGTCGAAAACGATTAGCCTGAGTAGCGACCGAGCAATTTTCGAATAAAGCTGACGTTGGAGTGAAAATTGCAAAGAAATGCCCTGTTCCTGACATCTCTCAACGTTGAAAAGCTAATGCGTTAGAACCACATCGTCAAATATTCCACTATTACTTCTACCCGATTTTTTTTCAATATTCTATGGTACAACTCGGATACACTTCAGGTAAATCAATAAGCAGGCAGCTACTACCATATCCATCATCAAAATTTCCTTATTGGACTTATCACTCAACTACATAGTAGAATAAACTCACCGGCTATCATTAAATGCGACGTGCAATTTCGTTCGGTCTTCTTCCTCACGTTTTAATTGAAAATTCTCCCACGTGGTATTGCTGTAGGACAAAAGCCCAATCTGAACAAATAGATTCGTACCCAAATGGGAGAAATGGTACGGACAGGGTAAAGAGTATGTACGTGTTTTGAAGCGTAAAAGTAAATGTTAGAAATGTACGCATTACTGCGGCAAAATGACAAGAGTTAACAAGAACATCAAGTTTAAACAGGTTATATCAAGTAAAGCTCCCAGCTTCATTTTTCAACGCAGGTATTTAGAGCTGACCGGCTCAACTGTTGTACGTGTGGGTGCTGATCAACTATTATTTGAAAGTCATCGAAGGCATAGTCAACGTCGGGAATGGTTCCCGAAATTTTTCCCTCTTGCGAATCTCTGACCTTTAAACATAGTGTTAAGGACGCTGTCGGGCCGAAAAACGGCCAAGGCTGGGCACAATAAGGTCCCAGAACCGGCTTAGCTGACGTACACACCCAAAGCGGACGAGTTCTTAGGCGTTGTAGAAACTGTGGAGGTTACACCACTCCCACAGGGACCCACACCTTGCATGCAGGCAGCGTAATGCAGCCAGTTGACGCAATGGCGCACGCGTTCGAGCAGCTCGTCCAAATATCCCTTCCATGCAGCTTTTTTCGTGTCATTTTCGTCCAACCCCTTACTTAACTTATTTTGAAGCCCTATATTTCTCTAAATACGTCGACTTCTGCATTTTCTTTTTCACTTTTGCAGTATACTGAACTATCACTGCTACTATCGCCTATAACTATACATCCTAAAGTTTTACAATGTCAAAACATCAAGTCAAAATAAGTTCTGTACATTCTAAAATTATCGCGAATTGTGCCTTTAGGAGGGGGCGAGGCTAAGCGGGAATCCAGAGGTGAGGTGTAAAAAGCACCGAGCACAGGGAAAGGTTCGAGCACTTCCAGGGCCGATTTTTGCCCAAAACCCCCATCATTGTAAGACGTTCGCATCGCGAAATTGCGAAATCACGGCGATCAACTTCTAACGAACTCACCGAGATACTGGGCTTCCTTTCACCAGAGGGTAGTGAATTACTTCGATTCCTAATCCCGTGAACAGCTATATGATTCTGCAATACAGTTGGTAAATACGAAATACATTTCAATATAAACAACATTAAGAGGTTATACATGCACTTCAAATAGCCCACAGAAAATCGAAACAGAGGTCAAGAAGTTCCGGACACCAAGAAAACTGACCTGAATTTGCTCTAGTCGATTCAACAAATATCGCATAGCCCAATAAATCCCTTGTTCTTGCCAGTGAGTGATTAACAAGGCACGAATAACGGCGACGTCCAAAATAGTTGCTACCTAAAAACTGTCAGCAATCGTGCTCTGAACTTTCTTGCTCATCGCGCCATATTTCTGGAGCATCGACCTGCTAGGATTCTCCAAATGACCCTTTAATGGAGCTCTGAGCTAAATACAACATCTAAAAAGCAGCTATGAAATTCGTCCCGACAGCTTAAATGTGGATAGGTTGCAAAAGTATTGATATATGAGTAGTTATCGAAAAAGTGTCAGCGATTCGGCCCGGGGGAAATTCCTGTTCACCTGAGGCATCGAAACGATTGGGTAATAAAATTCGACCGCAAAAAGTCTCGGCCGTCTGACTGCCCCATGAGGTGCCACGCGCACGAAGGCAAGTGCGCTGCAGCATATACAGACAGCTCCTGTGCTACTCGATCCCTTGAAAGATAATTTGATTAATTACCATCGGATCTGGTTGGCAGCTGCTTTCCAACTCGTCATCTGTACTTCCAGTTATCTCTGCTGTTCTACTTGATGTTGACGGTCCAGCAGCACAAACTAAAAAGATTTTTTTCAACTGTTGGCTTATGAAACAATGCTCTACGACTAGGGTTAATGCTAGGGGGAGCAGATGAAGTTCTAAGGGATCAGTCCCTTCTTCATGTGTTATCAGTAGCAGATCGACTACCTTGATAAAAAAAACCCACTAGGTTGCGATCGTACAGCTCCCGCTAACTGATGTGGCGGAGGTGGTTCTGATGGTTTCGGTGGAGGACGAGCTGGTATTACGGTATGTTGGCTTGATGACGATGCAGTATCGTCGGCAGTGGACGCTACAAACCGTCGCGTTGAGTGGACATTGACCAATCAGAACTCTACCGTACCTCTAGTAAGAACTACAGGTGGCGCTTCCCGCGGCGCGACGAGCGGCGTGACCTCACATTGACATCCACTGGGCCGCAGTCGATCGCGAAAAATCGGCTTATGACAAAGCTCGCAGATAGCCTGAAACGACT